TAATGAAGAAGATGGTAAGAGAAGAGATGCTTCATTAAAATAGGACTGAACCAAGAAATAGGAAGGTTTGGAACAAGAAGAGAGGCAAAGGGAATTCCCAGAATAACAGTGAAAGGAAGTTCCAAGCTGACAGCTGACCTTACAAAACAAGCAGTCTGGATTAGAGCAGAAAAAAGAACTCCAGAGGACTGGCTCCAAGAAGAAAATGAAACTGATAGATTACCTTACAGGTAAAACATATGGAGATTTACACTGCTGCTGGAAAATCTGAAAATAAATTTTTGATGGTTACAAAGAAATCTTACAAAATGAAAATGCGGAGGATTATTAACTTCAAGGAAAATAAAAATTGCTATAAGGAAACAATCATAGTACAGAATAAGGCTCATGTACAAATGATATTTGTGTTTCTAGTCAGAGTAAAAATGTTTGATTAATAAAAAACTGATCTAACTACACTAGAACAGAAGAGGGGAAGTACGTAAGGATTTAGGTTTCTTCTCCATCTTTAGGACCCATTCTCCATCTTTAACAGTAGAAATACAGTGCATAATATTTAAAACTGAAAAATGAACTAGCATATTACTTGGAAATACAAAAACCAATCAGAGATGGCTAGGGGAACCTGGGTGGCTCAGTCAATTAAGCATCCGACTTCTACTCAGGTCATGATCTCACAGTTCGTGAGTTCAAGCCCCGCATCAAGCTCTGTGCTGACAGCTCAGAGCCTGGAGCCTGCTTCAGATTCTGTGTCTCCCTCTCTCTCTGCCCCTCCCCCACTCATGCTCTGTCTCTGTCTCTCAAAAATGAATAAACGTTAAAAAAACAATAAAAATTCTAAAATGACTAAAAGAATTGAGGGACGCCTGGGTAGCTCAGTCGGTTAAGCGTCTGACTTCGGCTCCAGTCATGATCTCATGGTTTGTGGGTTTGAGCCCCGTGTCAGGCTCTGTGCTGACTGCCAGCTCAGAGCCTGGAGCCTGCTTCAGATTCTGTGTCTCCCTCTCTCTCTGACCCTCTCCTACTCACGCTGTCTCTCTCTTTCAGAAATAAATAAAACATTAAAAAAAAATTTTTTAATTAAAAAAAATAAAAGAATTGAACATGATCAGCTCTGAGGACTAGGAATGAGAGTGGAGAAGTAGAGAAGGAAGAATGCTGGTTTTCATTTTAAGCCTTATATTTTAAAAAGTATTACACTGACAAAAAATTTTAAGGGCTAGAATGAATATTCCTTGCTGCACTGATTATAAACAGTAATTGTTAATGTAAAACTCCGTTAAATTATAGACATTCCAAGTAACACTTTTTAATAAAAAATAGCCAGGAAGAAAGACAAAATGATTTGATCAACACAGGAAACCTGTTTGATCAAATTGTTAATTTGATGACTGAGACTGAAAATGTGCTTCCCATTATAAAATAATGGGAATCAAAGTGTTTCAAAATCATATCTATAATAACACAGATTCCAAACATGCTTACCAGCTGTTTTACCAAATACAATCTTTTCTCTTTTTAAGTAAAGGGCATATCTAACAATCTAAACATATCAGATCTCTCGTGTGTGTGTGTGTGTGTGTGTGTGTATATACAAATAAAATTTTCTGTCATTTTCACCCTGAGCTTCTTGCTACAAAGTAAAATGTCCTGGTAATAAAATATTCACCCAATGACACAGATCAGAATAGTGATTACCTCTGGGGAGGAGTACTGACCACAAGGGAGACGAAGGAGCCTGCTAGAGCCTGTAAACGTTCTATATCCTGATCTCGGGGGTGGTTACATGAATATATATATTTACGTATGTAATGATTTATCCAACTGTCCATTTAAGATGTGTGCACTGCGCTATAAGTTATACCCCAATGTAAGTAAAAAAAGTTCATGTGGTGAGAAGCAGCAATCTCACCATTTAGGTGACTTTTAGGAAACAAACAAACAAAACTACAAATCAAACCTTATCTACCTTTTAGCTTTACACCACAGGTTTATAAGCATTCCCAAAGATTAGGGGAAAAGATGTCCATGGGTACTTAAAAGATGAGACTCCAATAAACACCAGGACATTCAAACTTAACCTTTCATCACAATATATTTTCAACATATTCTCTTAAGTATTTAAATGAGGTATAATTTACTAGTATTTCTCTTAGCACAAAAAGAAACTGGGTTTCTCAAGATGGGAGTTAAACTGGCATGATGACAAATATTACACAGAACACAGAACAACAAGGTACTCAGATTAGGTTACCTCTAAATCCCATTTTAGCTTTTGAAATGCTACAATTCAGTAAAACCAAAAATGCAATCTAATTTGCCATCAAATTAATGCTAATTTATTTTTTTATTTGAGAGAGCATGCACTTGCATGCTCAAGCGGGGGGAGAGGTAGGGGGAGAGAGAGAGGGAAGAAGAAAGGGAGGGAGATAGAGGGGGAGGGGGAGAGGGGGAGAAAGAGAGGAGAGAGAGGAGGGAGAGGGGGGTTGGGGAGGGGTGGAAGAGAGAATCGCAAGCAGGCTCCTCACTGTCAGCATAGGAGCCCAATGCAGAGCTCAAACCCATGAGCCATGAGACCATGACCTGAGCTGAAATCAAAAGTCAGACACTTAACCAACTGAGCCACCCAGATACCCTCCAAGTGTTTTCTTTCTTTTTAAATTTATTTACTTAGGTTTTTTTTTTTAATTTTTAATGTTTATTTTAAGTGTTTACCTTTTAATTGGGAAATTACTGATACAGGAACAACTTAAATTTAACAGATTATCTGCTTATATAAAATACTTTTTCTAACAGATTCCATAAAACTGAGGTACATGGAGTTTTAGCCAGATTACCACAATCCTATTGTTATTAATGATTAAATAACTTTTGAAAATACTTTTATTTTATTTAAACTATCTAAATTGAACCAAACATATTCAGAACTTTAAACAGCATGACATATCAAAACTTAATAATTAAGCTTTCACTCAATAAAAATGTAAAAAAGGAAAAGAATTCTTAAAATAAAAAAATTTTTTTAATGTTTTTTATTTATTTCTGAGAGAGAGAGAGCATGAGCAGGGAAGGGTCAGAGAGAGAGAGGGAGACACAGAATCCAAAGCAGGCTCCAGGCTCTGAGCTGTCAGCACAGAACCTGATGCGGGGCTCAAATCCATGAACCGTGAGATCATGACCTGAGCCAAAGCCGGATGCTTAACCGACTGAGCCACCCAGGAACCCCATAACAAAAAAAAATTTTTTTTAATTCTCTTTTTTTTTTAAATGTTTTATTTATTTATGAGAGAGAACGAGAAAGAGAGAGCGCATGAGCAGGGGAAGGTCAGAGAGAGAGGGAGACACAGAATTCGGAGCAGGCTCCAGACTCTGAGCTGGCTGTCAACACAGACCCTAATGCGGGGCTCGAACCCACGAACCATGAGACCATGACCCAAGCCGAAGTTGGATGCTTAACCGACTGAGCCACCCAGGCAGCCCCCCCCAAAAAAATTTTTTAACGTGTTACAAAAATAATTTTTTTTTTGATATTCATTTATTTTGAGAGAAAGAGTATGAGCAGAGGAGGAGCAGAGAGAGAGGGAAAGAAAGAATCCCTTGCAGGCTCCACACTGCTGTCAGCACAGAGCCCAACCTGGGGCTGCATCTCATGAACCCTGAGATCAAGACCTGAGCGGAAACAAGAGTCAGACACTTAACTGACTGAGCCACCCTGACGCTCACAAAAAATAAATAATTTAAGTATGTCTGTCTCATTTTCCCTTGAAAGTGAAATCTCCAAAATTAACTCTGTAATTTGAATAACTTTTTATTTCAACACAGTACATCAATCATAAGATATGAAAAACCACTCAAAGATAGATGTTTTGTGGGGCACCTGGGTGGCTCAGTCGGTTGAGCGTCCGACTTCGACTCAGGTAATGATCTCATGGTTCGTGGGTTCGAGCCCCGCATCAGGCTCTGTGCTGACAGCCAGCTCAGAGCCTGGAGCCTGTTTCAGATTCTGTGTCTCCCTCTCTCTCTCTGACCCTCCCCTGCTCATGCTGTCTCTCTCTCTCTCTCTCTCTCAGAAATAAATAAAACATTTAAAAAAAAATAGATGTTTTGCAAAATTCCTCAAATAATCAAGCTGTCTTCACTCACAAGTCAGAAGATACATAAATTTTTATTATTATACTAACAAAACATGTTTTCAAGGTAATTCAAATACTGCTTCAGATCAGTTAGTTCCTTTCACATTAGGAAATACAATGTTACAAAACTAATATAAATTTAGGTAAAAATTAGTCTAAACTCTGCGCCCTTAAGTTTTCAAGCTCTTATTCATTCTGGATAATGCTCCCTTCAGTTAACACTCCTTACAGGTATTAATACAACTGCTATGTACCACATACAAGAATGGTGAGCAACATGAATCTCTCCCTTTAACAAACTTTCAATTCAGAAGTAGAATAAAGATGACAAGCTCAACACAGGACATCGTACCCTCAACATAAGATAATATTAGTAGATTGGCATCATTTGTTTTGTATAATGTTTATCAGAGCCTACTTGTATGAATCATTAAATATGTTAAATTTCATAACAGTTTGGGGCGCCTGGGTGGCTCAGTCAATTAAGCGTCCAACTTCAACTCAGGTCATGATCTCACGGTTCGTGGGTTCGAGCCCCGCGTCGGGCTCTGTGCTGACAGCTAGCTCAGAGCCTGGAGCCTGTTTCGGATTCAGTGTCTCCCTCTCTCTCCGACCCTCCCCTGCTCACGCTGTCTCTGTCTCTATCTCAAAAATAAATAAAACATTAAAAAAAAATTTTTTTTAATCTCATAACAATTTATAAAATTTTAAAGATAACCTCAAACTCTGTCATTTACATTTACTCATGCTTGCATTTGATTGTCAAATAAATCCTATGTAAGAAGCAATGTTCTCCATCAAGTTTATTCGAAATTTCATAGATTCACTAGGCTCTGCTCTAATTTCTAAACCAAGTACAAGCCTCACCTTGCTCAAAGCATACAGATCCAGGATTTTTCTCTCCACCACTGGAATCTTCAAAGTAGATCCTTGGAGTTCCCAAAATTTTGCTAACTGATCCAGAAAGTCCAGTCTCACTCTGGTCATTGCCTAAGATTATTATAAAACAGAAATCATAAATAGGAATTAAGTTATGGTTGAAACTAAACGACCTTTACTTAACAAAAGTACTCATTTCTCTAAAGAAATTCATATCGCTTAGTCCAACCCTGTAAAAGAAGGCAAAAATAGACAAAATACTTCTAATAAGCTTTATTCACTAAGGCAAAAAAGTCACTCTAATGTATGAGAAACGCTCTCATATTTTACCAACCAAAGCAATTTTTTTTCTAAGAGTTGGGTTAACTAAGCTGAGCAGAAATGTAGTAAATCGAATTATTCTGTTTCTAAGCATTCTATCATTTCATCTGTACCAACCATGCATACCTCAGGTACACTAACTCTCTACCCAACCGATATTAAGATCCTTCATCAAGTATCTAATTACAAGAAACTTAAAGGGAAAAAAAAGTATTAAAATTTCAGAAAATAAATGTTTCAGGAACATCAAGGGAAAAAAAACAACTTACCATGACATATTAAACATATCTAAGATTATTTTTTGGACTCTGAAACAGTTTTCTACTGCGCTGAAGTATCTTCTGATAATCCAGCAGACAGGAAAACCAGTAATATTTACATAGACTTCAATTGAGAAAATGTAAAAGAGACTAGTAATATTTAAAAAGAAAGATTTAATAAATCAGATTAAGAGTCCTGGAAAAGTTCCGTTAAAGCCAAAAATAACCTTTGAAAACCTTTGATCAAACTTTAAAACCTCCTTTCCAAAGACACCAAGAAACAGAATCTTCCAACATTAACATAAAATTTTCATAGAACAGTAAGTGCTAAAGCAAGTAGAACTTGAGAACTCCAGGTCTCTAGAGGGAAGTACTGGGTATTTCCACTATGAAACACACAGCCTCTCATAATAAAAATAAATACATAAATAAAGCTTCCCATAATCCCAGTTAAGTGGAAAAACTGTAACAACTACTTTTTACAATTTTTTTTTTTAATCAGAAACTTTCTTCCATTCAATCTCAATTAACATTAATTCTGAGCCCTGGTACATAAGCTTCTCAAAGTTCTCTCCTGAAACCGTGACATAAACAATGAATCAGGAAGCATAAATGGTGATATAACACTCACCTCAAGTTCATTCAGGCGCTGGACTCTGGGAGTGAAACGAAAGCTTTTTACTTCACATGCAAATGGAGGCTGCCAATCCTAAAGAGAAAGACTTTTTTTTAAACATACTGATATATAAACAAAGAATGCATTATTTAGTCCCTTAATTTAAGGGAGCAGTAGCCACAAATCATAACAACCGGTCAACTTTAAGTCTTTTTCATTGTAGAAACAGAAATATCAATATTCTTTAGGTGATATAACTTTACTATTACTTATCTCTAATCACTTATCTATCATATTCTAATCTTGAAATTATTTTATCTATAAATCCTCCTCAAATTTCAACAATCCCACTATTTATAATGCAGTATTATGCTTTCCCCAATTACTCAAGTGGAATGCAATGAGCTCATGTATCACAACAGTGTCTAATAAATATCCACATTTTCCAACTTAAAATGAAAACAGAATTTGAAGGAAACTAAAAAGGGTAAAATTAAAGATAAAAAATAATTTTAAAGTACTTATATAACTTGATAATTTTTTTTTTTATTCATGTGTAATGTGACACAGCACTTTACAGTCTATGTTACATAAATGTTTTGTTCAAAGCCTGGTTTCTCGGCACCCAAATACTGGGGGAAAAAAAAAGTAAGCAAATCCACATAGCAAGCAGAATTCCAGATTGGAGTTGTGGTGTAGCTGAAATGAGATAGCACAATTTGAGCAGGGTTCTAGAAAAACATACTATGATTTAGCCTAAATAATAGTAAATCTACTTAAAAATGTATGAGAAGTAGTCAAAAATTTTTTTCTTACCTTAGAAACTAAAGAAATCACCAATACTGAAATTAAATTCTGCTTGCAAACAAGATTTTATGTTTAGTAATAATATAATATACAAAGAGATGGTATATTATTTCTTTTTCCAGTAATAAAAAACATATTTTTTAACCTAAAGGAACCCTGAATACAACTTCTAATTCATAAAGGCAACAGAGTAGATGAAAATATAGTTGTAGATGAAAATATGGTTTAAGAAAAATTTCAGTGCTTAAAATGTTGCCACTATTAGGTAATTTTGATAGTTAAACAGTTAAATGAAGCTTTTGGAGGATGGCAATGCACATCATTCATCATAGCAATTAGCTTTTAATCCTTTGCTTGTGACTGATAGTCTATAAATCTTAATCAAATTCATTAAGCATAAACAGGTTTAGCAGCATGCCTGGGTTTCAGAACCAAATAGATTGATCTAGGTTCAAAATCTATTTGCCACACGCCCAAGATCATATATTTAATAACTTACGTAACTTCTTCAGATTTGTCTTACCTATAAAATGAGGTGTTATTTACCTACTAGGGCTTCAAAGAATATTAAGTGAAATAATCTGCAGGTACTAAATTAGCTCCTCCTCCCCACTCCCATCTTAAACTTTTATTCTCTCTGGTGCACACTACTGTGGTAGTTTATGGTGAGAAGACACTTTTCAAATGCAACACGCAGAACAGTACTTCACCTTTTATTCTTAGAACTAGTAGACAAAACATAAAGTGTCCCTTTAAGAAGCACCGAAGGCAACAGTTCAAACTTTAATGTGCATAAAGCATCATCTGAGAGTACTTGCTAGAAAAGCACATTCTAGAACCTCCACATCCAGAAACTGATTCTTGTCTAGGAATGAGGCCTAGAGATCTGCATTTTAACAAGCATCTGGTTGAGCCTGGTGCAGGTGGGGCAGGAACATCATTTGGAAAACACTGGTCTCATGGGTAAAGAAAAAAAAAATCTTTTGACCTTGAACAAATCAACCTCTTGGGGCACTAATTCCCCCCAAAGGGGTAGTATCTGCTTTCCTTACTTTAAAAATTGAGGATGGTTGAAAAGAAAAGAAAAGAAAAGAACCCACAGGCAAACAGTTATTTGCTGTAATTGCAATTGATAAATCTGTGAACCCGGGCTCCTCATATCAAAAGATCCAACGTTTTCTTCCACCTCTATTATTGACCAATTCCTCTTAAACCTCCCAATTCTATAATAAATGCTGCTCCTTCTCTTCCCCTGGGAAGACTTTTCGAGTGCGCCAACAAAGTCTAGGGCTCTTGTTTGGTAATATCATCCTAGGGGACAACTACATCTCAGGTTACCGTTTAAGAAACCTTAGCCTTGAGATGAGGCCTCCAAATATTTAATAAATCAAGTATTAATAGGACTTGGTTAAAGAAATCACCAATTCAAGGGCAGTTTTTACTACAGCACCCTAAGAAGAGAGTACTGTACACGAGGGTAAGACACGTCATTTCCTAACGCTTCAAACACCTTCTCGGCCAACGAAAGGCCTGAAGTCTTTTGTTACCCTCGCCTACAGTCTAAGGAGAAGAAAAGTACCAGTTCCCAAGTTCTAAGCGGAAAGGCCCCCGGGACACCACTCGCAGGTTCAGACGTGCCTCTGTAAGACTGCAAAAGAAACCAAGGCAAGAGCCGCCACAAACTTAGCTTCCAGTTGTTGAAAAATGAGACAGTAAGTACGAAAGGGCAGACGGACCGAAAAAGTAAAGCTAAAGCACTCTCCCTTCCCTTTCTCCTCGGACTCCCGGTACCTTGGGCGGTCGGATTTTGCAGATGCCGGTTTTCTCCGCCAGAGGCCGGATGCGGCCGATAAAGCTGAGCGGGTCGGTGAACTCCTCCCAGCTGGGCTCAAACACTGGGCACTCGGGAGGTGGCACGAACTCCGCCGCGTAGCCCCCCGGCCCCACGCCTGCCATGGCAACACCCGGAGGGTCCCCGCGGGGGAACAGGTGGAGAAAGGCTGGCTGAAGCCCACCGAACGCTCTCACGTCTCCTGACAGGGGCCGAAGCTCATCTTCTGGGGCCAGACCCGTTCAACACAGGAACCCCACAATCGCTTCCTCTTCTCGTTTGTTATTGTTTCCTTCGGGGTTTTTCCTCTCTGGGTCAGGACTTTTCCGGAAGTTAATGTACTGTCAAATCCCTCCGCCACCACAGAAACAGAATCCCTCCGCAGCAACGCGACGCCTGGTCTTTTCGCCTTCTTTCTTCCCTCCCTTTGCCGGCAGCCCGCTGTGGTTCCTTGACTGCGAAAGTTCCGCGCTGTCCAAAGACTTGAAGGGGCACACCCCGGAGGTCGCACGAGCTCTCCTGAAGGAAAGAGAGCGGTGGGAGGAAGCAGTCAGGGCTCAGAAGGGGCGCACTCTTCCGGCGCGGAGGAATGTGTAATGCCCCAGAGGGCAGAGGTTCTGCTTCCGGTGAGGAGGGTTCTGTTCCCCTTTGTGTTTAAATGACACGAAAACAAACTCGGCCTGCCTTCCGCGAACGTATCTTGCTGGCCCGGTGTCGCGGCTTGTTTTAACGTACCTGTCTGTCTTTTTAAACGTAATCAACCTTTTTCAGCATCCGGCTCTTCCTTCAGTCTTTTGACTGTTAGTATCTCTTCCAAATGATCTTCCTCGGCCAATTTATAGCCGCCTCATCTCCATGACAACAAGTTCTGTTCTAATCTATCCCCCAAATCCTGCCAGACGGCCGTAGTCATCATCTAGGAATTGCTTTTGGTGTGCATGGAAGCCACCGCTCTTGACCTTCCTTTTCCAGCAGTTGACAACCCCAAGTCATCTCAGCAGCAAGCCCTTGACTCCGCTACCACACGCCTCGTCAACTTTTCTCAATGGGCTGAAAAGTCTGGCAACCTTCTGATCCTGCTTGTCAAAAATTTCTGTACCAGTGTACGTCTCCACCTACTCCAAATTGTGGAAAATAATGTGGAAAGAACTAAAGAAAAAAACTGTGAAAAAGTAGTTCTAGTATTAAATATTTATTGTAAGGAAAACTTCCTTTCGAGGACTTTTTTTCATACTCCCTGTGCAATCTCAGCCACCCCAGAACCTGAATTGCCAACTGTGGTTGATGACAACCAAAACTGTATTTCCAGCTAAGATTTTTCTCTTGAGTTAGAAACCAGTACATCTAGCTACCTACTAGACAACCCCACGTGATTAATTCAAGTACCTAGTGTTTTTTCAGTGTTTCCAGTTTCCATGAATGACTTCATCTTGCTAGTCAGTTGCCTGAACCAGAAATTTATTTTTTTATTTTATTTTTTTTAATGTTTTATTTATTTCTAGGAGAGAGAGAGAGACAGCGTGAGCAGGGGAGGGTCAGAGAGAGAGGGAGTCACAGACTGAAACAGGCTCCAGGCTCTGAGCTGGCAGTCAGCACAGAGCCCGACGCGGGGCTCGAACCCACGAACCGCGAGATCATGACCCAACCGCGAGATCATGACCCAAGCGAAAGTCGGACGCTCAACCGACTAAGCCACCCAGGCGCCCCAACCTGAACCAGAAATTTAGAGCTGATCCTTAACTCCTCCCTTCCTATGTACAATCAGGTGTCAAGTCTAGAAATTCTGTCACCTAAGAATCTTAAATTCACCCTTGTCTCTTCATTATCGCTATCCTAATTTAAGTTCTCTCTCACCTGAACTATGATAGCTCAGTTCTTACCCCCTCAAATCCTATTCCACTCAGTTGTCAGATTGCTTTGTCTAAAATCCAGAATCCACCTTGTCCCCTCATCTCCAAACTCAACAATTCCAAACTCCTTTCTAATTTGCCATCTCACTCCCAAGGTTTGTTGGCTTTAATGCACCATGCTTTCTCTCACCTCTGAGCCTTCATAGATCATGTTTCCTCTGTCTGGAACATGTTTGTACTCTCCTGACCCCACCCCACAGTTTCATATACCCCCTTTCTGACCTACTCATCTTTAATATATCAGCTTAAATATCACTTCCTCTGGAAAGCTTTCCTTAACTCTCTAAACTCATTTAGCCAACAGCAACCTGTAGTTCTTATCAAACTTTTTGGAATTGCTTCATTCCCATTCTTCCCCAGACTAAACTATATGAAGGCAGGTGCAAGGTCGGTTTTATTGACCACTGTAGCCCCAATTCCTAGAATGGTGCTTGGTGTATACAAAGTATGCAATAATTATCTGTTGAATAAATATCTGTTGAATGAGTGGATGGATTCACCCAATAAATTCATTCTGTGTTTCATTGCCTCATCTACATTTACATATAACAAAATTTAAGACTCTACTAGGGTGTGGCATATATGATATCCCAACATTTGATTATAGCGTCTGTAAAAGTTAACACCCAGTTACACCCACCAACCTAAACCCCATACACAAACATTTGTTTCAGTTAGCCTTTGTTATGTAACAAACTACCTCAAAACTTAATGGCTAAAAAACTTGGTGGTTAAAAATGAAAACTACTACTGCACTTCTGTGGGTTGGCAATCTGGTATTACGGTTCCCCTGGGATCACTTGTGCAGCTGCAGACATCTGACAACTTAACTGGAGTCGGAGGATCCAATATGGCTTCATCATATATCTGGCAGTTGGTGCTGGCTGTTGGCTGGGAAGCCTCAGTTCTACACATGACTTCCCATCCTGGGTAGGATACACTGTGTTTTTTCATAACATGGTCTTAACATTCTGAGAGTGTGAGAATGGAAGCCTGGGCCTAAGTCCTAGGCTCCAAAATGTACAAGATAATGTCTGTCATATTCTGTTGGCCAAAGCAAATCGTTAAGTCCAGCCCAGATTCAAGAAGGCAGTGAAACGGACTACATATCTTGTTGGGAAGAACAACAATATCACATTGCAAAGGGGCGTAGAGAAAGAAAAGTGTGATTTGACACATAACATTTATCATGAGTCACAATAAAATCTGATTTAAAATCAAATTTTTACTACTTAAATCTGAAAATCCACATCGTTCACAAGAGAAATAATGAAATTCTAAGGAAAGCAAGTAACATTGAAATAATCATTAAATATCTAATTAAAGTATAATCGTTTTTACTTTTATATTACTAACAGAGCAGCAAAGCCCTGATTGACCCGTAGAATAAACACACACTTCAGTTTTGTTTGTTACTTTCTTTTTGATCTTTCAAATTGTACTTACCTAGTACTTTAAACTGTCTCCTTAATATTTAAATTCGCGCAGTGATTATCCTCAATTATTTATTTGCCTCAATATGCCTGAAAAATCTGTACCAGTCACTTTAGCAGTGAGTCTATAGGAAAAAGGCAGTGAATATTTCTACTGGGGATGGAAAAAACTTCTCCAGTTTTACCCACATGAGATTCTGATCCTCTCCTCAGGAAGTATCACTGACACTCACACCCATCCCTTTGAGAATCACTATTGTAAAAGTTTCTTATGGTTTGTTTCCCTCTGTTTTCATCTTATTTTTCCTTCCCTTTCTCTACGTTCATATGATTTGTTTCTTAAGTTCCACATATCAGTCAAATCATATGATATTTGTCTTTCTCTGAGTGACTTATTTCGCTTAACATAATACACTCCATCCACGTTGGTGCAAATGTCAAGATTTCATTCTTTTTGATCATCAAGTAATATTTCATTGTATATTTCACATACATATACATACATATATATATATATATACATATATATATATATACACACCACATCTTCTATACCTGTTCATCAGTCAACGGACATTTGGGCTCTTTCCATACTTCAGCTACTGTCGATAGCGCTGCTATAAACATTGGGGTGCCACGTACCCCCTTCAAATTAGCATTTTTGTATTCTTTGGATAAATACCTAGTAGTGCAATTGCTGGGTCATAGAGTAGTTTTATTTTTAATTTTCTGAGGAACCTCCATACTGTATTCCAGAGTGGCTGGACCAGTTTGCATTCCCACTAGCAGTGCAGAAGGATTCCTCTTTCTCTCTGCATCAGTTGTTAATTTTAGCCATTCTGACAGGTGTGAGGTGATATCTCATTATGGTTTTGATTTGTATTTCCCTGATGATGAGTGATGTTGAGCATCTTTTCATATGTCTCTCAGCCATCTAGATATCTTCTTTGGAGAAGTGTCTATTCATGTATTACATATTCATATCTTTTGTTCATTTCTTCACTAGATTTGTGTTTTGGGTGTTGAGTTTGATAAGTTCTTTATAGATTTTGGATACTAACCCTTTACCTTATATGCCATTTGCAAATATCTTTTCCCATTCTCTCGGTTGCCTTTTAGCTTTTCTGATTGTTTTCTTTGCTCCGCAGAAGTTATTTATCTTGATGAGGTCCCAATAGTTCATTTTTGCTTTTGTTTTCCTTGCCCCTGGAGACATGTCAAGTAAGAAGTTGTTGTGACCAAGCTCAAAGAGGTTGTTACCTCTTTTCTCCTATAGGATTTTGATGGCTTCCTGTCTTACAGTTAGGTCTTTCATCCATTTTGAGTTTATTTTTGTGTATGGTGTAAGAAAGTGGCCCAGATTCATTTTTCTGCATGTCATTGCCCAGTTTTCCCAACATTGTTTGCTTAAGAGACTGTCTTTTTCCATTGGATATTCTTTCCTGCTTTGTCAAAGATTGGTTGCCTATATGTTTGTGGGCCCATTTCTGCGTTCTCTATTTTGTTCCATTGATCTATTTGTCTGTTTTTGTGCCAGTATCATACGGTCTTGATGATTACAGCTTTGTAATACAGTTGAAGGCTGGAATTGTGATGCCTCCATCTTTGATTTTCTTTATCAGTATTATTTTGCCTGTGGTTAATCAGCTCTAATGAGGGCTTTGTGCACATAGGATATTGACTGTCAATAGTGTTTGGGTCTCAGGGCAGAACAGTTAGGTATAGCTGTAGTTTACAAGTGCTGTTTTCATTAGTTAAGCCATTCTTAAAAACTTTTGAGAAAAAATATTATTAAAGTATTATGTTTTATCCAGAATTTGCTGTCCTTGGTGCTAGAATAGGATAAAACAAATACCCAATTCTGATAATCATCTAGCTAGGCTGTGATCTCTGAATTTATTTAAAAATGTAATAAACTTCATAAATGCAGAGTAATTGAAAGAAGGCAAGTTGCAGAGAGAAAAAACTAAAAATTACTGAATTTCTATGGAAAGGC